TTGTAGTTAAAATGGTCAAGATTCAATCTCATATCATTCATGCCCTCAGACCTCCTTAGAAATGGCAATATAGCGATGGTCTGCCCATTCCAGTGTACTTTCTTCAATTTCCTTGTAATTTTATCGTCTGGTAATGCCAAGTTAGCACAAAACAACGTTTTTTATCTCACTTTCATTCTTGTACTTTTGTTAGGTGATAATGCCAGGTTAACACTGCCGAAAGGTATTTTTATGTTCTTGTACTTTTGTGCACATTTGAACTTTCTATTCACTACCCAGTAAGCAACTCTTTAGTTTGATGATTATTCTCAGAGACTTTAATTTATGATCTCTGATTAATGATTAACACCTTATACCGCTCGTTACTTCTTCCTGTTAATATACAGAACTGGAATCAGCAATCTCTTGCTGTTGCGTCGCTTGAATAAAGTATGCACGTCTACTCTTTAATAATATACACACAACGCCTAACACTATGGTTGCTAAGACTTGTGGACTGATTCCTGATTCTTATATAATAATGTAGATTCTTCCTTCCTTCCTAGAATCCTTATTTACGCAGCCAGCCTGATGGCCTTTTAGACATGGCCACAAATCTTAATACACGTCTGACAACATTAGTTCTAGAACATCTTTCTCTCTTTCTTCCTTTTTTTTTTTTTTTTTTACTGGTGTGTTCCATTTTGAAAGCAAAAAAATACCTAATGTCTGGCCCCTTTTCCTGCTGGTAAACGGAGTGGATGTTATTGTACGTTACATGGAAAAACTTTGAAGGATGTAAGGACATAATTGTTTTAAAGAAAAACATAGCCCAGAGACGGTTTTAGGATCTCATTGTTGCGAAGGGGAGGGAGTATTTTGATGCCCCTAGATGTTATAATAACATATTCCTCGCATGCTACCTATCAGTTAGTGAAATAACTCAGCAGATACAGGTGTCTCCCCCACGCAATCTTAAAATGGTCAAATCTAAAAAAAACAACAACAAAACTCCAACAAAAAATTCCAAGTAAACTGGTTGACATGCACAAGAATAGTTCATGAAAACCCCAAATTGGACTTTCCTCGCTAAAAATTGAGCAAAAGACAGTTTTATGTCTATATTTATGTTTTGGGATCTGCAAAGATACACTTGGTCGAAACAAGACAAAGTAATTGACCGAAACATCTAAAATTATGGATTTATGTAACATTTTGAATCCCCCTAAAATGACCCAAAATGGGCACATCCCAAAAGTTTGTAGGTGTATATATGGGACCTGTAAAATGTATATTTGTACCAAATCCCACGTAAATTGGTCGAAATATGGCGGAGTATTGGTTAAATAAAATTATGCTTTTTGTGGTATCTTGACCCCCCCTATAATGACTAAAAATGGGCGAGTCCACCATTTTTGTTTGTCAGTGTGTGAGACCAGTGAAAAAGTATCTTTGTACCAAATTTGGTCCAAATATGGTCGAGTAATTGACTAAAAACGCCAAAATTATGCCTTTTTTTTGTGAGCTCTGCCCCCCTCCCCTAAAAAGACTCAAAATGGGCAAATTGAACTTTTTTTTTATGTCATTGGGCTGGGCGCATAAAAATTTACATTTTTGCCAATTTTCATCTTGATTGCTGTAAATATAACCGCCCAAGAGTTCAAAGGTTTTTGACTTTTGACCCCATAAAATCATTTAAAAAGGCCTAAATAAAATAAATTGAAAAAGATGTTTGTGTGTAGTGAACCAAGATATAACCTTACCAGTTTCAAGTCCAGAAATGAAGGAAATGGCGGTCGATTGAAAATTGTTTGGGGGAAGAAAAAAGAAAGAAAGAAAAAAGAAGAAAGAAAGAAGAATAAACAGTATGTTTATCCGTAGATACATAAATATACAAATACATTTTCAACTGCTTAACATTGGATAATACTGTACGTTTTGTTTGTAATTTCAACTAAAATTTGGGGGCTCCTTGGTACTGAAAGATAAATAATTTCATGAGGTTAGTTTTATATTTAAACACGTTGTACCTGGGTAAAGAATACACACATAATTAATTTTTAATTATAAGCCATAGCATTAGAAACGGGGACGACTTCTGCTGTAACTCAGATTTAATTTTAGTTTACTTTTTCAGGTTCCAAGTTGAGTTTAATTTTTAAGACTCTCCTGAACAAATGTTATCTCATTTTCAATTTTAAGGTTCTTTGAACAAAACTGTCAAAATCTGCGTTTTAGCCCAGAAGAATCTGTCAAGGCTGTTACAAGATCTAAACATCAGCTTTAACTTTGGATTTTGAGACTATTTTTGACAGTTAATAATGAAGTTATTAGGCATATGTTTATCGGTAAGATACTGAAGAAACTTTTTAGCACGTTTAAAGTAATAAGAAGTATTATGGACTCCAAGAGGTATTATGGACTCCAAGTAAGTTCCCATCTTTATTTATCTCTCTTTTTTATGTTATCGTGAATAAATTGGTTCATAGAATGTTCCAGGATTTTATACTTTTTATTATCCTATATTTGACAAACTGCTGTGTTCTTAAGTTATCTGAGTCAATATATTTCTTAGTTACTTCAAAGATTACCATTCACTGGTATTACTGTTCACCATCCTTTCTTTTTTGGATACTAGGTTTATGTTTCAAATGACTGATTGCAGGTCAGAAGGGATTCACTAAATTACTTTTTTTTCTGGACTTAATCCTTAGTTCAATAATTTTACACCAGGGGACTTTTAAAGTAAATCTTCTGAAATATTTGCTCAAGAGAATCATTTTCTAGCCTGACGATAAATTATTGAAACTATTTCTTCTTCTGTCTAATAGCTCCATAAAAAAAAGTGTAATAAATTTACTGAGTCTACGTATCTCATTAATTTTGTTTATAAATGTTTCACGTTGTTATAAGTTATGAAGATAAACAAATCAGTCAAAACACTTATTAGAAATTTATAAAAAAAAAAAACACATTTAAAGTTTGTTTTGTGATTTATAACCCGAGTATGTCCTAATGATTAGTATATCATACTGACATTCCAGATGTTTTCTGTTTGAGGACAAAAAGTTGGTTTTGGAGAATTGTATGTGTCATTAATCTGTCCATGTATGGTTTTCTATTTATATATATATATATGTATATTGTATTCGCTGACTTTTTCCAACAATGTATAACAACAATAATGTATAAACGTTATTATACACAACAATACTGTACTACTATAACGATACTTCTAACACTGTGAATGATATAACATTTCCCTCTGCATTATTAAATAATTTAAGTAAGCCAGTTTGTCAAGAAACCTACTTCGATCATTTTGCGCATGTCCAGTTGCCAACACAAGGCATGTTTCGTATCCACAGGCGTCGGAGCGAATCTCAATCTGGGGGATGGAGAGTGGGGGAGGGAGCTGAAGTGCACACCAAAGGTGCACTGCACGTGTGTGTATGGGTGGGTAACCTTCCCCATAAAATATACAATTTTCATTTTTAGCAGGCTTTATATTTATAGTTTCATTTTGCGTTATTCTGATATTTACGTAATGTTTCATGTAACATAAATGCAAGTTTATTTACTTCTAAGTAGAAATTAGAAATATTTTCAAAGATGCTGAAATTTATGTCCAATTTTTTAATGAAAGTTCTAACCAACAGAATTTATAGCGAAGTATACTGTACTCAAGTACCGTATTTTATAAATTACTATATATTATATATATATACTATGAACTGTGGTGTCTGTGCGAGCGTTTATCTGTCTCCCATTTACGGTCGGTCGCTGCGTTTGAAAAGCTGTGCACGCAGGCAAAGCTCAACATTCACTTTTGAAATGACGGGAGAACAGGTATGAATATAATGTTGATGCCAACTTTTATTTCGCAAGTAGGATATTCTGGACTAAATTGTTAGGAATTAAACATACTATCATTCACATTTCAAAAATGTAGATTTACCTTGTGTTAGATTAACTTAAACTCTTCCCGTCACTGGGGACGGGTACTTTTGTTAGATTAACTTAAACTCTTCCCGTCACTAGGGACCGGTACTTTTGTTAGATTAACTTAAACTCTTCCCGTCACTGGGGACAGGTACTTTTGTTAGATTAACTTAAACTCTTCTCGTCACTGGGGACGGGTACTTTTGTTAGATTAACTTAAACTCTTCCCGTCACTAGGGACAGGTACTTTTGTTAGATTAACTTAAACTCTTCCCGTCACAGTGGCATGTTTGCGGACTTACAACGCTAGAATCCGGGTTTCGATACCCGTGGTGGGCAGAGCACAAATAGCCCATTGTGTAGCTTTGTGCTTAATTATAAAGAAACGGTATGAAGGGAGACTAAGAAAATCAAGAAAGTTGGTCAAACAGGAAATGAGGAAATCAAAAAGGGGTATACGAATTAAGATTGGTCGAAAATGTAGAAAAAAATTAACGGTAAGAATTTAAAAAATACATTAAGAGTAAGCAAACTATTAAGTTGGAAGAAGGACCACTGGGTTGTCTTCAGGGACGAGTGAAGTAGTACATTTAAGGGACTTTAATGGAAGGCTTGATAAATATTTGAATGATAAGGGTTGGCTTTGTATTGAGGTATTGTTTAATTTAATGAATTGGACAACCAAAATGAATCACCAAGTCCCTTGTTATTGTTACATGTTATGTAAAATGTGGCAGCCAAACCTTTTAGTCGTTGCTAAAAAGTAGTCCTATAGTTGACTAGCTGTCTTCCCTCTAGTCTGTCACTTCTAAATTAGGGACGACTAGCGTAGGTAGCTCTCGAGTAGCCTTGCACGAAATTCAACAAATAAATTAATGAAACCAACAATTTGGGTTTAACGTCAGTGCAGAGCATTCAGGTTATATGAATACTCTGGTTTATGGAATTTGGAAGTAAAAACTGGGTTGGTGTAAAATTCGAAGCTCTATTTTTCTACTCGGTCTTATACAACAATCAGTGAAGTTCTCACAATTCGGGTCTTGCCTTACTCATAACGTCGGCAACAGACAACTTGCATGTCAACAATTAGATGAACCTTTTTCACGTTGTTCAGAACCTGTACAAGTCCAGGTGTTAAGACTACCGAGTTTTGTGATCTGCTCTGCAACAACCGGGTCCACTTCCACAAGGTCGATGCTGATCGTTTTTTGCTGGCTCGTCAAACCTTCGTCAAAAGAACTTTTAGTTTGGTCATCCAGTGGTCGAAATGTAAGTATTTGAAAAGGTAAACGCAAGACAATCGAACGATCAATGCACCCTAAAATGACCTTCACTTTGACCTCATAGGAAACTATTACACCATAAGGAGTTTTCTCCTTGGGTCCAGCACTAGTTGTTGTTGAGGCCAAAATCAAGTTGTCCTCTTGAAGTCCACTTTCCACCGCTAGGGCCACCGGATATTTAAGATAGTTCATTAGCTTAATAGCAAAGTCACGTGATATGCTGGCTCCAGCTGGAATTGGGTGTTTCTTGTCGGTCTCAGCGTTTCCAACGACATTTTTGAAATGTCCGTTAGTGAACATGCAAACAAAAACGTGTTGAATGACGTATAACTTGATTCTCTGGACAGTCTTGATGCTGTTATTGTTGACAGTTACATGAACTCGTAAAGTGTCTCCCTGATCGTAGACCTCACGGTCCAGCATGACTTCAACGTCCAATCTTCCTGGACTGAAAGAGAACGTCTTCCTTAATGAGGCGGTTGGGTGAGTCAAAGAGTTGAAGTTTCCAGTTGGACTGTAGTGTATACATCGTAAACTCATTCGGATTGAGCTTTTTTTTTGTCTCCTTTCGTCTACTCGTTCACCTTGAATATAAACAATAAATAATTAAACAATAACACCCGTACGAAAAAGACAGCACGTACGTATATACATTGTAAAGTCGGTCCTGTTAGAGAGAGCCTTATTTTAGAAACTGAAGACTACCATGGAAGATACGACACTAGTATTTATACATTTATGTATGTGTGGTATTATTAATTTATTTTAATTGAACAGTAATAAAGAGTTTTTACAATATTTTAAAGATATTTTTGTATTATTTCATTCGTCCCCCGGTCGGACAGTCTTCGGATTTATAACGCTAAAATCAGGGGTTCGATTCACCTAGATGGCCACAGCAGATAGCCCGATGTGGCTTTGTTACAAGAAAACTAATATTATATATATATATATATATTTATATATAGACGGAAAATCTCTCACCAGTCAGAAGCAGAGCCAACGAACCAGTAGATGGCACCACAAACATTATTATATATATATATATATATGGACGAGAAGTTTCTCACCAATCAGAGAGAGCCAACGAACCAGTAGATGGCACCACAAACATTATTTGATATATATATGGACGGGAAGTTTTTCACCAATCAGACAGAGCGCCAACGAATCAGTAGATGGCACCATGGTATACATAATATTTATTCTACATTTGCTCGTAAAACAGTTGTGCAAATGGTTATAGATACATATTTTGGGTATAATTCAGAACTTAGCCTGAAACTATAAGATTATTTTTCCCCCCAAACTACCCTATATAGAGTTTCAACACTGAAACTTCACAGTTAAAAGAGAAGAAAATCACCGTAGTTCTAATATAAATACAAGAACAAATACAACATTATTACATGTTACAATATGTTGACGATAATACCCTAATATTAATTACATAAGCAAAAATCTGCCGAGCCGATTGAAAGATACAATAGTGTTAAAGTATCAGGTCATGCTTTATACGGGGTAGGCTGAACTCCTGCTTCCAGATCAATATTGAACAGAGTTGTTTAAACATGTGTTTAACAACAAGTAAAAGCTTGGAATGGTCTATTCTTTCATTGGAGGTGCGTCTGTGAGCCAGACTAGTTTCGGAGAATTCCACTTTTCATCAGTGATCCTGGACACTACCACCAATAAAATATCAGACCAAACCCAGCCTTTATAGTAGTGAGGTATCGAAAATCGAAATGGTGTATTTAAGTGTTTTACACTCACAAAAAGGAAACCTATCATTCTATAGGTATTTGAAGAACTTGTAGCATTTTATTGTATGATTTTTTTTGTAGCATATTATTGTGTGATTTTTTTAAATAATATTTTTGATATAATATAAAAATAAGTTAAGATTTATTTGTTGCATCAGTTGGAGATTTCCACTAATAAGAAAATGCTCAGGTTATTGTTTTCTTGTTTGTTTATTTTTGTATTTGATAGTAGTTTCAGTTTAGTTTAGTTTCGACCATCTCAACTCAGATATGATTAGTTTTGTGGTTTTAAATAGCTTTTATAAAGTTTTCATGATGTAAATAACACAGGTACAAATACTTTTTAAGCAAGATCAGATTTTTAAACACACGTTAGTTAAGAACCAGCCTTGTTTTAAGGATTACATGTTATAAATAGATCAGATTTTTAAACACACGTTAGTTAAGAACCAGCCTTGTTTTAAGGATTACACGTTATAAATAGATCAGATTTTTAAACACACGTTAGTTAAGAACCAGCCTTGTTTTAAGGATTACACGTTATAAATAGATCAGATTTTTAAACACACGTTAGTTAAGAACCAGCCTTGTTTTAAGAATTACACGTTATAAATAGATCAGATTTTTAA